ATATAGGTTTCATTAATCAATTTGACAACTTCATCTAATGTGGGTGCAAAGTTGACATATTTTATTACCTTAAGGAGCACCCTTCCTTGTATGACCTTAATGAAGAGGTTGTCCTCTTTATAAATTGTGTTTATTAATCTGAACCCAGCCCTTGGATGATATTTGCACCAAATCCAGACACGGAAATTGATAAAACTGATCTGAAAATTTAGCCAAAATGTGTCTTTACAAGCCTTACAGTGTCTTTACTTAAGCCTTACTGCTGCCTCTCAGTTCCTGCTTTGATTCCATTGTAGAGCTTGCACGTTTTCTCCACAATAAGGTGGGTCTTCCTCAAGTACTCTGTTTTTACCAGAATACATGTAGGTTAGGGTTAATGGGCTTCTCCAGCAGTTCATCCTCACAAAAAAGGCATGATCACTCTGGTATTGCCTATTGATGAGTGTAGAAGCTCTGCATCCTAGATACAGGGAATAGGACTACACAGACAAACACAGACATAGAGATGGTCAATTAACCCATAAGAAAACTAGGAGTTTGAATTTTAAATAAAGAGTGATAATGAGCTGAAGAATATTTGAAAGAACAAGTATAATCGAAGAGGGAGAAAATGAAAGATTATGTCAGTACCACTTAATAATCTTAAACTGCTTTGGTCAGCAGGAAACTGATAAAGACTGAAGAAACCAGTTATACGCCGTACAGAGAACGATGCATTTTGATCAAGGTGACAAGTTATTTTAAAAGCTGGGATGTCCAAAATCAATCAAAATACTAGAACTTCTCTAATCCAAATCAATAAATCAATATAATCTACAAAGCACTAAGGCATGACTGAAAAGCTATTACACATGAATTTAATGCCTCTTCCACTCAAATTAAAAGATTACCTATTGCTGCAAATATTGGGATTTGAGAACTTTAAATGGCATTGTTTGTATTGTCCTCAAAGGAGAAGAGGATTAGAGTCAGACAGGAAAGAGTGAAAACAACATCAATTTCAGTCTTGAAAGATTGATCCATTCTGGCATGAAATAAATACTTCTCCTCTCTAACTAGGCTGTTACTGAACCTGTGGTCGGTGTCCATTTAAAGACTAAATGTTTCCACATATAAAGAAAATAAATATAAACTGTCAATAAAGATAACATAATGGATGGAAAAGACCATTATCCCAAAATACCTGTCAGACAGTTCAGAGATTTGGTATGCAATTAACCCATATTTGAGCTGCTCCTAACATGTTGCAGTAAAAAAAAAATCTTGAGATTTGTTCTGCTGGTCAGGGAAGAACACCTTTCATGATGACATAAAAAGCTATAAAATGTAGGTTGAGCTCACACAGATCAATAAGCCATGATTTAAAAGCTTTTAAACAGAATTCAATGTCACTTGGTTCCACTCTTTGATCAGAAGATCAAAAACCATGACATTTAGGTAAAATTATAACTGGGACACGGTGTGAAATCTATAAACTAAAAAACTAATCCCCTACTATTTTATACTTGTGCAATATCTTTTGCCACTAGTCTAATTAATAATTAGAATAATTAGTCTTAAAACTATAAGGCAATAAAAAAAAAGGTTTCTCTGCTCAAACGTCTCTCAGAATGGTTCACTGAATTTTATTGGACATCCTTCTATCTTGCTTATACAGTACTTCCGAAACAAATGTATTTTTCTTTTTTTAAATACGGGATCATGAACACCTCTCTCTCCCACCCATTTCTGGATCTACTTCTATAAGATCCATAACCAGAATACTGAGAGGTGTGGACAGTACATATTTTACTTAGTACAGTACTTCTCTCTGAGAGACGGCTCTCACAGAGTCGCCAGTCTTTTCAGTTTCTCCAATGTGAGCTACACAGCGTGTGAGACACATTTGGCATCATGTTGGCTTCAGTCTCCAAGTCCAGATTTCCTCCAAGGGAGCAAAATAAAAAAGCCTCTCACTCACAGCACTGAGGGCAGCCACTGCTGGGAGCGCTGTTACGCAGCAAGTCGAAGATATCCCGGCCAGCTCGAGCTGGAGAAGAAAGACGGGCCATAATCAAACGCATCTGTGCAGTGCTTGCTCTGGAGGACCCCAGTAAAAGTGAGCTAGTAATGGAACAAGCTGGCAACGTGGTGGCACAGCTGCTTCACGGTTCCAGGGTCCTGCCCTTTGGTGCCTGTCTGCGTGAAGTCTGGATATTCTCCTTGTCTCAGCATCTGTTTTTGCCGTGTGCCCTGGTTTCCTTGCATCGCCCGAAGACAGCCAGTGTAGGTTTGACTGGTTACTCTAAAAACTGTCGATCCCCCCCACTCCCCATTAAACCAACAGAATATGGTGTGCTCAGCAAT